CAATAGAGGATATATATATATAAATATATGTGTGTATATATGTATATTCTTTTTTCTATCTCAAAAATTCTCTGACAATAATGTTATATATTATTTAAGTAGACATATTTATATTTTTAAAGTATGTATATATAAAGTATATTTAAAAGAAGTATGAGGTATCCTTAAATTTATTTTTTGATTTATAATAATTCTATTATTTAAGAGAATTTTACTAAAATCTCTAAATGTAACAAACAATATGATTTAGTATAAACGAATGATATGCTATTGGCTTTCTTTTAAATATATGCAGATATTATTTCTTAAAAAAAAATAGTTTATTAAAGAATTGAATGTTTTTTTTAATAGTCAAAATTCTTAGTTTCTAGAAAAATGAGATCATTAAATTTTTTTAGAGATAAAAGATAAAATTATTAATTAGATTGATAGTAAGCCACTAGCAAAAAATGGCACATGGTTAAAGATCATCTCATCGTAACAAATTAGTATATCCTATATAAATGGTAGAACATGCAGAAATTTTTTTCTCAAACTTTTATTGAAGTGACTATAAAGTCTTAACTATCACTAAAAATTATCTATGTTATATCTCACGTTATCACTCTTTTTTTAAAAAAATCTTTCTTGTGATGGAACGAATAATATTGAATTAATATATCTCATTAGTAATTTAATCTAATATGTTAAAAAAAGTTAACCGGATAATTTTATATAAAATTTAAATCAATAAATGATCAGTATTGTTGGAAGGCTACAAAACAAATATTCGAGCTTATTTCGAAGCTTCTGAGGAATAAGAAAAGCTTGCAATAATAATATACAACATTAAGATAAATTTTAAGAGAATTTTTCTTAGGAGTTACAAGAACCAAACTCTTAAGTTGATTCTTTTCCTCGGAAAAAATTTCACCAGCCCAATTTCATACTTATCAAACTTGTACCCTGATATCTTGTTAAACTTAATCTTGTATGGATCAGGAACAAACATATCAAGTTTGTTCTTCTAGTGAAGCTTCCAGTGATATGTGTGAAGGAAATTAGAGTCATTCAGCTGCAGTAATAATTTTAATTTTATCCATATAGTTGTATATTTATCATAAAGAAAATCATCTAAGAAAAACACATCTCCAATAAAATTAACGAAAAAGGATTTTGGTATGGATGGCACAATTGAAGCCTTTCCAAGTGGGAATGAGTGCAACATTGTCTTGGGTCCCGTAAGATTTTCCTGGTATAAATCTTCTCCAAAGCTTCCTCTTTCAA